GGATATAGCAGGTTACATACCAAAATTTAGCAAGGAATTTTTGAAATTTCGAGTTATTTACAATTTTTCAAAAAAAACAAAAAAGAACGCAATTTTTACGTTACACCTGATCTTGTTAAGATCCCGAAAATATCACGTGACAGTAACTTTTTTTTCGCCATGGCTAGGGTGCACATCCGTTATCTGTATATTGTCACGCAGTCTATTCTAGATTACGCTTCGTATTTTTATTTGCAAAGTGCGAAATCACATGACCGATTTCGTTAGGTATTGAAATTCATGCGACTGAAGGTCATTGCAATTTATTTTTATCAGTACGTTCCGGACAAAAATGGTTGCAACATTAACAATAAGTTATTTATTAAAAGTCAATTAATATTTTGGATAAGTAGGTTTAAAAAAATATACAATAGTATTATCATTTATAACATCTCAAGTTATAAATTTTGAATACAGAAAAAGACCAAAATATTTGATAACACAAAAGTAATAATTATGAATTTTTGATAAGATTTTAATTTAATATATTTAATATATGGAATTGACTAAAAATATTAAAAATACAATATAACCATTATAACGGTTTTCTGGGTTTGATCTTAATTTTTAACCCTAGACAAGTAGTAATAAACTTGGTATATGTATTCAATGGGGCTTGCATATTTGCCAATTCTACATCATACTTTTTAAACATCAGTGCCATAAATGAAAGCATATTAATCATTGCCAGTCTTCTTCCAGGGCAAATTCTTACGCCTCCACCAAAAATAACTAATGAATACCTATTCATATTATGTGAGAACTTTTGATCTTCATTATCAAACGTCCTTAAATCATTTTCAAATTCATCTAAATTATTTTTTAAATAAAATCTGTCTGGATTATAAACATTAGGATTTGCCCAATACTTTTCATTCATATGAATACTAGCATAATTCAAGTGAAACATGGTTCTAGCTGGCCAAGTGTATCCAGCAACCTCACATTCCGCAACTGCAACTCTTTTTGATACGGATGTTATTGGCATTATACGAGCGGTTTCTTTAATAATTGCTTCACAATATTTAAGTTTTGCAATAATATCAGCAGTCACATAAGACGTATCAGAAGGAAAAACTAAATCTATTTCATCAAAGATTTTTTGTTTTACATGTGGATTATGACAAATATAATAAATTATAGCATAATAAATTTGAAGTCTGTAGAAAAAAGTGAGAAATATAAATATAAATATTAATGTATAACTAAATATGGTTGAATTAATATATTGTATCATAAATTTAATTACGTACCGTGCCAGATCCACCAAGAAAAACGTCAAGTAAAATCGATCTGATCTCTTCATCGGCTATTTTGTCCTTTGCATCATTATTTACACTGAGGAGAAAAGTTAGTATGTCATGTCTTGACAATAATTCCTGAGGAGTTTTTGCAAGTTCGATTTTCCTCTTTTCAATAATATCATCTAACGTTTTAAATATAAAATCTCTGTTTTCTAAAAGAGAATTTGCTTTATCTTTGATTAATGGAACATAACGTCTCAAGAATGGATAAACATGAACAAAGAATATTGTTCCTCTTATGTGTGTTATAATTGCGTTGATAAATTTATCAGAGTGTTGTAATTTAGATTTATCAAAAAGAGAATCTTCAATAGAGTCAAATGTATTGTAATATGAGGCCATTGAGTAAGCTTGTTCACCGGTCACTAAGACTGATATAATATCACTCGTAAACCTATTTATCCATAATAAAAAGTCCATTTCAAGCTGGTCATTACCAGACAATCTGGATTTTCTGAGCGAATTCCAGTATCCGTCCAGTTCTTCAAATGACTTATTAATATGCTTTATAAATTCATTATTGAAACCAGGAGTTGATATTGACTGTGAGAAAAGATATCTATTAATCTTCCAAGTTTCGTAATTATTATTAAAAAAAACTCCTCGTTGAAATGTTCCAAGATCATCCCAAGCATATGTATATTCATGTTTCGCAAATAACATTGCATTTTTCGTTGAAGGATTTAATAAATCTTCAAAGTAATCTGTCCTAGAAAGAAGTATTCTTCGGTAACCACCCAATCTGAATTCGCAAATGTCACCATATTTTTGATATAAGGTTGCAGAAATACGTTTTAAATTACCATCATAAAAAATGTTCTATAAATAGTTTAGTAAATATATTCTATATCTATATATACATTTAATTTATAATAATTTTTTTAAAAAAATACCTCTAATTCAAATGGCAAAGGTAGAGGGCCAGGAAGTGGATTTGGGCGGGTAAAGTAATTATAATAAAAGCGAAAGAGATATGAAAGGAATGATAAGAAAATAATAAGTATATAGTTGATAATGTTGAATGATCAAATGACTTGAAGGAACATATTGAGGCAGCATGAGAGCTCCTGGTCAAATACGTATGTGTATATGTACGCTCGTGAGTAAGTACATACGTATATACAATATATAATTTATCATTTCACATTATACAAATCAAAATTCTTTGTAAGTCTTGTGATACAAAAAGCAGGGTAAATATTTAATTGTAATTTATAATAAAGCTGAAATAGGAATAGTTAGATGGTAAAATTACCAAAGAAATTTTCAGATAAAATATTGATAAATTATATAACAGTGTAACTAGTTAAGGTTTTGCTCTATGATTTAATTTTGTTTAGGGTTTAAAATTAACATAATTTATGTTATTTTGTGTAAATTACAGCTATGTTTGTAACCTTGAACACATACGCCGAAAGTATTTGGCATCAATAAATTATCTAAAATATTTTCGGGAATTGCCGTGATAGTTTCTATGCATGTATAATTTTAATTACAAGTTTTTTCCTTAGAGACACCCAATTAATTTTTCGTCATTTAAAAATGCCGCGATGGTGGTGCTACAATTCGGATTATTCAGAGAACAAATTAATACTTGCCAAGCATTTGCAGTGCCGATTAGGGATGTTAATGGCTTTACACATCAACTTGGTAGTAAAGTCAACATTTAGTCGATCACATAACATGAAATTGATTTGACGACCCTAACATTCCCTCCGAGGAAGCAGTCAATAATCAAATTGTCGATAATGATTTAATTAATAAAATTAAGCATATGTTTTTATCAACAAGAATCTTTTATAGTTATGCAACAGTATGCGGTACACGTTAATTTTTATACATATTTATTATGAATCTTTTGCTCTTGATTTGATCCTCTTCGGCTTTCAATGTTTAGTGGATTAGAATTATTAAGTAATTGAAGAAATGAACAAATAAGACATCTGTAAACGTGTCGATAGCCATAAATAATGCTTAACATTAGTGATTTTTTGCCATTTTAAACTTTCTACAGCAGCAGTTCTCTCGCTTTTTGCTATTCTATGCTCTTAAGAATCGATCGATCGATCGATCGATCATACGGTACAATCAACAATGTATTATGTTTATTTTCTCGTATAATTTATCTACACAGATTTGAGCTTGGCTAATACCAAACTAATCAAGACCAAACCAAAACAGGATTAGAAACCTGTCACAAAATGTGGTAACTTTCTATATGGGTTAATAAATACATTATTTTATTGTGTTAATTCGTTATTATTTCATTGTGTCAATAGGTGCGTGATTTCATTATGTTAATGAGTTAAAAATTTGTTAAAATTAAGTAATTCTTCCAAGATTATTTAATAAGGGGTTTCAAAATTAACAAATAAGTGACGCATTTCGAAAATAAGTAGGATTTTTTCAATAGCATTTTTACTATGTCAAATTATAAATCGGAAAAATAAAATAAGATTCTCTGATTTTAATTTTGAAACTCCCTAATTAGACTAATCGCATATATCCGATCACTGTATTGTAGTCACGCTTAGAATGACCCAAATGCACAAAAAAGCACCAGCATAACCAACAATCGAGGGGGCAGTCACGTGATGGACCGACCAATTATGTGATCGATAAATATT